CACGGTAAGCACAAGCCAAACCCCAAATAAGTTGTACCTCCTTAGATTTACCTAAGCCGCACTGCCCCTGACTCAAATACTGGCTAAGTTTCTGGGGATCCCACAGGTGCTCAAGAGTGAAATCCCGTGACATTGCGGGTCCCCATGCTTCTAAGCTTTTTCCTAGACCTCTCCATATTCCCTGCCAGTCAGCATTCTCTGGTTTTGGAGGAGACTCCTTCTGCTTACTATTCCTATATTGGAATAGATTCATGGAAAGTGATATGAACAGGACTGATACACCCACAAGCATGAGAATTAACTCAGCATTGGAAAAACGTCTGATAAACCGAGAGGAAAACCTGGAAACTGGTTTGAACATCGTGTGGTTTGTAAAATTAGCTATTCCATTTGGGATGTAGTTGCTTGTGAAATTAGCCATTCCATCCGGGATGCAAGTGTCAAAATTCATATCATACCACATTGCATATAGGTACCAATATAGGTACCATACAGGCGTCTCCGTCAGTGCCCTTAAGTGGTTATAGATGAACACAATTCCACAAGTAATGATGACATTGATGATTGGCCAGTAGGTCGCGAGTAACACCATAGCTTTTAATCCCTTACTCAGCGCTCCCACGAAAAAGAGTGGGTTCATCGCTGGTTTCTGCTCAAAAAGGGTTAATGAATTGAAACTAACAAGAAGGGGAGGGGGGAAGAAAAAAGGCACTACCCAGACTAAGCAGTGCTCAAAGTTTACAAATATCCCAGAATACTGGCAGTACGCCTGGTCTTTCAAGGTCAAGTTTTCCAGCACAAAAACCTGAACTACTGATAATGCTCCCTAATGAAGCTCTCTAAGAGCAGAGAGCGAGATTCGTTCTAAGAGCTAAAAAGCAGATATGCCCGCATTCTCCACCAAAATCTGTCACGGAGTTAACTAGATCAGTTTATGCCCGTGACAGGGGGGCAGTAGGCCCCTGCCCTCCCCACCCCCCGCCTGGCCCTACCGAAATGGTAAGGAAGGAAGGGGGAAAAAAACAGCGGCAACAATCCATAGAGGTAAACTTATTTTACTAACTATGATATCGGAATGCAAAATAACAAAATATAATACAATCTAATTGAAATTGAGACTAATAAATCAAATAAGATATGAGAGAGAGTTCCCGAGACCGAGTCAAACCTGAAAAGCTTGGAACGGCTAGGAAAGCACCCTCCAGCACCCACTGCCAGGCAGTAAGAGACCGCCCCACCCGGAAGGGTCAGATCCCATGACTTCCATAATGTATAGGAATAGGTACGTAGAATTAGAGCATTAACACTTTAATTCCGGTACATGATGTTTTGATGTGGAATACTGAAAATCAAAAAAAACATAAAACCATGACATTAAATTTTGCTTTAATTCTTCTATTAACTCTCTTTCCTCGGCAGTCCACTTAAGGGT